ATAATGGGATTGGCTCCTGCAACTCAGCGGACAGCTCGCTGGCCTCAGCATGTTTGGTTAGGAAGGGTTTTGTCCTCCGTGCGGTCTCCCACAGGTCGAGGGGAAGAGGCACCTGAGCCCTGCCTTGAATCCCCCTGGAGGCTTCCCCTCACCTACTCCACCTTGTCCTTCATGTACGGTCTCTTCCTTTATGCCCAGCAGTAATCTCTCTGTGCTATAAGGAAACAACAGTTTTGTATTTAGCCCTTAGGAAAAAATACTCAAGAGCAGTGGCTTTCAAAGCAGAAAACAGATGCATGTGCATTTAGTCTCACCTAATTACAACAACAAATTATTTTGATAGGTCAAGCAGATTCAGTCTGCACTCCCTAGAAGCTCTTGATCATTGAAAGCTTTTTGGTCCGTCTCTCCTTTCCTGTACATCGGTAGGATTGCTCAACTAGGAGAGCAAGCCAGGCTGACGGGATTCCTTAAACACAAGCATTTTCAGAGCTGCTAGAAAAGGCTTCCTTCCTCTAGCTTTGGCTGCTGGCCGCCTCTGCTATCCAAACAATCCTGTTGGGTTAAATATTGCACTGTTTATGTCGGTAGCAGATCACTACATTGTACCGATACTAAGTGCTAAGAGCGCCTCTTAGGTGTGTTTTTCACTAGAAGTTTCCCAAATGGAAACTAATTTCTAACATGTAAAGGAAATGAGGTCACTTGCACCAGTTCAAACATAGCATCCATCTGCTGCACTGTCTGTACTGGAGCATCTTGCATCAGAATACAGCCTGGTTTGTTCAGGGTAAAACATATTGTGACTGTACACAGGCATTCAGATTTGGGGCCCAGTGCAATCTATGATGTGCCCAGGGATAGGAATCCTGATTATGCTTTGTATACAATAGTGAAATATTACACAACTTAATAATAGCTTTCATGTGAGGATGATTTTTAGTGGAGTTTACATCTGTGGCTGGAGAGTGAAAGACATTTCTGAAGACATCTGTTCAACAAATAGACAAATACAAAGCTGGGTAGGAAAGCAAGCATTTTAGCTTGGGACATGTAAGAATAAAAAGCATTCATTTCACTTAGCCCTCAGTGTTCAGCATGATTTTTCCTTCAAGTCATTTGTAATATTCAGGAAGGTGCACGCACAAATAAACTGGTATTTATATAGCAATAGATGGATGGGAAAACTGCCCATTCTCTAAAGAGAGAATTGTAAAAAATCCTTTAAAACACAGTCTGGATTGTCTCAACATTGAGGCTCTTTGGCCTCATGTCTTTACTGTCAGAAATCCCAGACTGACCTGCAGGGAAAACCTTTGCTAGCAGTAAGGTACGACAGACCTGCTTCCTCTCTGGAGCAGCCGTGGGAGGGAGAGAAGGATTATGTATCTAAGCCTACTAACAATACCCAAACTGTCTGTTCTTAACAGAGTTATCAGTCTGGGCACAAATATATAGCACTTCTGAACCTTGAGTCTGATTTCCTATATCCAACAGATCCTTAAAGTTCACGTTTGTCCTTGCCTTTTGCACCAACAGAGCTCTTCAGAAGTTCCTTAATTTCTCCAACGTTTTGGGTTTCACTGCTATTGATTGCTGTTTAATTTCCTTGCAGAATTGCTATAGATATTTTCTTGCAGCCTAAATGTGCGAGAAGTACTTTTTTCACTGGGGCTGAATCTTGCCTATCTAAATTGCCAAATCTTATGGCTTTATAAATAGTGCACTGATGAAACACACTCTTCATATTTAACACCTAGTATTCTATCTAATCTGTGTGTGCGTGTGTGTGTGTGCGTGCGTGTGTTTGCGAGCGCGCGGGGAGGGTCCTCATGTTGCCAGCATGAACAGAGGGTTTATATTAAGTAAAAAAACGGAAGAAGGATGAAACAATTTTTAGAACTTGCTCATTTGATAACAAATTCAGCAGCAGAGGGCTCTGAATTAGGGGAAACTTTTTAAATCACCATGAGGTTAACTTCTTTTTCTTTTAACTAGTGTATTAACAGAATTCCTGCCACCCCTTGTCTCTCCCCACTCCTCCCCAGCGTACTCTAGGATCTCTTCCACAGAGGAAACAGTGGGCAGAATATAATTTTCCTTTTTGTCGGGGGGGAGGAGGGCAAGCGGGCTTCATGCTGCAGAAGAGATTCAGCACAACATTAATTGCAGTTGGACTTTCATTCCCATCAGTACATCAAGATAAATACCTAGAATTGTGATCTAAAAGCACACTCTTCAAAATACAGCACTAGAACGGGTTTGCAAATTGAAGTTACCACCATGTATTTCATTTTCCACATACAGAATATGCATAGGGTTCAGCTTCTAACTCCTGTCAGGAGAGCCAACCTTTTTGTTTCATTAAGTCATGCATGCTGCCAAACCTGAAGCATCTAACATGCGGTCTTTAAAGGCATTTTCAACAAAATCTGTTAATTAAAGATACAGAGAGATAAAACAAATGTCTGTATACCTTGAACGTTCACTGAAAAATTAGACTGCAAGTAAACAAATCAGTTTCAGGATTTTTTTCATCCTTCTCTGTTGCCTGTGCATAGGAGTTCACAACTTCATATGCTCCAGCTACCAGCTCTTTTCCACAGCAGGCTTTGGGGCTGAAATGATCAAATAGAAGAGCCAAAAAGATGGGCTGGGCTGTGCTCAGTGAATTATGGGAAATACGTGCTCAATGATTGTTAAACAGAACGGAGCACCGTCTTCCTGCCGTGTCACAGCTGCAACAGCTTCCACGACAAAGTGGAAAGGAAACTCTGACACTGGCAGTCTCCTCAAGGAGGTGTTCTCAGATACCAGGATTACGGCACAAACTGGTCACAACCGTCTTTAAGCCTGGGAATCGTATCGAGAAAATACTTCAACACTTAAAAAGAATCCCTCATACATGAAGTAGCATCTTAACAAAAATAATTTGCCATGGATGCAAGGTTACATAGAGCTACAGCTGCCTCACACAAAATAGCAGGAGTGACTAGGATATTAAGCTCACGCCTAAGTACCTCTGCTTTTAATTGGAGTAGGGCATTCTCTGCAGTGCAGTGGTTGACCCTACCGATATTAGGGAAACCCCAAACACACCGGAGCACTTTTCTTGCTGTATCCCTCTGCACATACTCCTCACGTGTATGAACTTCCTGCAATACAAAAAAAACCTACCCCAAGGGGCCCTGCAGTGCTCAAGGATTCACCCTCCGAATGGAAGGCGAAATCTGTCAGACAGACACGAGGAATTGTCCTGCCCTGGAATTGCAACAACATTGCCAAAAAGAGATTCGGCCTCAGTGATGTTGTTACTAGCCCATCAATGGAACAAGCCCTTCCTCCTACATATGGGGAAAAAAAGAGCAGTCCATACTGAATTTCACCTGTCAGCAGATTGCTATATCTAATGCAGTCCACGGTAACCTCAGTTTTCTTATGCAAATCTGAAGAGGAAACCACAACCAATGTACAGCTGACCTGCCCACGCTAATTTATACACCATTTACTTATCCCTAAGTAGTAATATTTGCTCATCCTTCAAGTGAAGGTTAAACTTTCCTAATATTCATGTTAACTGATGTAGCAAGAAGAGAAGCTATAAAAGAAACATTCTCCACATTAACTAATTATTACATTAAAAATTACTGCAGAAGTAGAACAGAGTACTTAAACACGCTACAGGCAAATTAGCCAGCTGTTCAGAGGATGCCTACTGACGTTGAGGAAGGATGTATTCTCCTTCCTAAAGAAAGGAAGATACCGCTGAAGGGAGCAAGCTGGCACGGCGCTCTTTACGCTAGTGGCATGAAGGCACCCGTACCACACAGTCCAGTGGAGGTATCTCTTGCACTCATCAGCCACCAAGAAAACGTGACCAAGGTAGATGTGCCCTGAATATAATTACTTTCCTTTAGAGGATATTTATCTGAGACTTTATCTTGTTGGACATTTCATTTTGAGGACAATCATATGCAAGGGTCCTTTGTGAAAGAATATACATCTTCCTTAAGCTATTAATATTGTAGGTCATAAATGCTGGGTTTCAGCGCTAATTAAATTCCCAAAGTCATTTTTAAGTAGTGATGTAAAAGATACAGAGGTCATGAAATATTTGGCTACCATTCCTACTGTCTGCAGCCCTTTCGGGATGTATTTCAGGTAGCCTTTATACTGCTGTTGAGGGAAGAAAGGTCCTGTATACCCCCCAAAAGCTTCTCCGTTCCCTCAGTTCACTGACGATACCTTACGGTTTCTTTGGAGGTGAAAAGAAATCCTGACAAATGAATTCAAATAAGAAGGCTAGTGTCTGAGAGCAATTCATTGATGTGATATTTGAGAATTTCGTGATTAGAATTTAATCCACAAGCAGTAACACAGGAAATGCACACTAATTGCCTTCTGTCAAAAGACCCAGGAATTTCTGATTTTACACGTGGACAGGCAAAAGTCATTATACCTGCTTTTTGGCAAGATAATCCAAATCTATACCTGCAATACATTCAGTTGTGCTGAATTTTCTGCTAGGGTGTACTCTGTTAATGAAAGATACCATCTTTGCTAAGAAGACAGACCTCCCCTGCATTGCCAGAAAAAGCTTCAAATTAAAAAGGAGGATAACCCATAACACAATTCATTTCAAAAAGTGTTGTACAAAACAACAGCATAATAGAGAGAAAAAGCTATACAGTGCAACACATATAAATAGACTTTCTTATGTTCAGCGATACAAGACAAAAGAAACAAATGCTGAAAATTAAAAGGAGCAATTCCTGGAGATAGAATGGAAGAACGAGAGAGGACGAAGCAGCTCAGCATATGCTAATATAAAATATACCGTAACGGTAACTTGGAGAAAGGGAGCCTGACGATTTGTAAGGTAAGACTGGAAACAGGCACAAGTGGTTTGCTGCGGAAGATGCTAGAAAAAATAATCCTAAAACAAACCTCTCTCCATAAGACAACAAAGCCCTCTCTTGACGAGGACTGTCCCAGCTCACCTCTATACGATGCTGCTTCCGAAGCCTCGTCGTGTAAGCGCTGCCCATCGTGTTCATATTAACGTCACAAATGGCGTTTGAGAAGCGCAGCACCTCTCTTGTATTGAGCTCTACATGCAGTAGTAAGATCTCAGCGTTCAGGACAATGTAATTTACCAGGAAAAAGGAGAGAGCCCAGGTTTCATTGATGTCAATGGCAAAACTCCAACTGATCTCTAAAGGCTGGGTTTTCAATCTCGCAGTTTAGAAGTGCTGTAAAAGAGAAAATTAAAGAGATGGATTAAGACAAGAAAGGTTTAAGGCATGACTACAGATTTCACAAAGGCAGAGAAATCACAAGTCAAGGAGAAATCCTAGCAACAGTCTTTGCCATTAACAGATTTAGAGATAAAGGAGGGAGAGGAAGTGCATGGCTGGGCTCATGGTAAGATTGCCCACATCTCTTTTGGGAAGAGAGCTAAGTGTTACAGACGCTTACTAAAAATGAGCACTGCTGCTACTAAGTATGTTTCAGAAGCACAATATGTAAGCGATGGTAAGCAAAATGCTTATTCCACTCATACTCTAGCCCTGAGACAAGGCATACATTGTGTGACTCCATTTATTTTTCCCACTCCAGTATTTTTGAGCAGTTTCCAGAACATGTCTCCCTGTTATCACAAGTGATTTAGTTAGGAGAACTCATTTTCTTTCTAGGTCTACCATCTGCAACTAATTATTTTAGAATATATATTCTACTTCAATTAGAAATATTTCCAAATATTCAGATAGAACATCTTACTGATCTACAGGTCAACTGGAGGAAATAAGAAATATTATATTTACAAAAAAAAGGGGGGGGGGGAGAAGGGAAGAGGGGAGAAAAAATTAGAGTGTTTTATTTGGAACAGTGCCTACATAAAAGCTGCCTGAAAGTTCTCCCAATAGGACCCTTTTCTGGTAGAAAATCAAGCCAACATGTTCTACAACACATGCTTCATTTTGATAAGGTGAAATGATTTCATTTATTTTTTTTTCTCCTTTTTGAAGTGATCTGTTAATTTTGTCTCTGATAGTATATTATACTGTAATGTCAACACAATTTTGCACTCAAAGTTCATTTGTAGTTTCCTGGTAATTCCTTGCAGGAAACAGTACTGGAACTAAAAATCAAGTATAGCTCACAAAGCCAACCACATTTCTATTCACCCAGGTTGTTCATCCATAAATTTGAAAATCTAAATGTTTCATCTTTATTGATACAGAACCTATCACTTGCCCTAAAACAAACGACTTGAGAGTATTCTAACTTTCACAAAACAATGAATTTTCATTTTTCAAGCAAATTGTGAAATCCAGAGTTTCTCACAGATCGAAAATGTTGCTAGATCAATTGGCGCACCTTTAGCTTAACTAACACGCATCTCTCTACCCTATTTCCTCTCCCCAGTCTTTACTGCGACAGCTCAAACAGATGACAGCGGAATAGTCTGGCTCTCCACAGCTTGTTCTCACAGATGAGTATCTTGGAAGTCATTTGATCAACAGACCTAAGGGTAAGAAATAAAAAGGCCAGCTTTCTACACATGTTGATGAGTAGGGTGCATGGAAGAGCAAACATTTATCTCAGAGCCTCCAGTTTTGAAGCTGAACTGAGCAGGACTAGGACAGGAAGACAAATCTATTCACCAGTCTTCAGGACTCTTAATGAGGTAGATCATCTCATACCTGGAAAGCAGACACAGGAATCAACCCCCTGCCTTGGCTACTGCTCAGAGCAGCATGAGCTGTTTATTAAGCTGTTCTTTACTGTTAAAGTGATCAAGAGACTCCTTGGGCCCTTCACAGTGACACCAGGGATGACATGGCGTATCATCAACTCCTGGCAGCCCACAGCACTTTCATGGACAATACAGCCCCTGAACTTAGTGTGAAAGTGAACTAAAATACACAAAAACCTGGGAGGGCTAACAAACATACTGACGATATTTAGTTAACAAAAACAAATACTAATCACTGATCTGAACACTTTCCAGAAACTCCACAATCAGTGCAAATTAAGCATTATTTGGACTTGCAGATTGCCTGGGTTTGCCTTAGACAGTCCAGGCTAGGTGCAATACTTGATAAAAATTGGGGTGAGGAGGAGCTGAAAGTGCTGCTCTTCCTAAGGTGACAAAACATGAATCATATTCCCCCAGGCTCGCCTTCTTTCTGAAAACAGTACAGGAGAAAGGTCCCAGCTACTGTTGCCAAGGTCATCATTTAGTATAAGCCTCAGAAAGCTGGGTTACCTTCTGTATCTCTTTCCCCAAAAGGGAACTCAATGTCCAAACCGGAGTCCAGACGTAACACTTCCTTAGGTTTGTATCTAAGCAATCCAGGGATGAGCAAAGCATAAGCAGCTCATTCACAGTGGCTGCATAATAACAACGTGGCGAGTGACTCACGCTTGACCTGTGAAGTCACGGGAAAGAGCAGACAAAGATCTATGAGTTGCCAGAGCATCTTGACAAGAACCCAGACCAGGTGTGGCCTGCAAAGTCAAGCAGTGCTGGAAGGAAAGAAACTATCAGTCTTTTGGAGTGTCTTTATGGTACTAGGCCCTCAGGCACTTATAGTGATAAGTACCAAATAAAGCCCTAAAATAAATAAAAGTATATCAGATCATTATATGTGGAGTGGGAAAGGGAGAATTCAGAATTTGACCTCCAAAGAATATTACACACTACACATCCTGGAGCATATGGTTCAAAAAAGTTTAAACTTCAGGCCAGAAGGAAAAGGAGTAGTCACGCAGCCCGAAATTTTGTCGAATAGTTACAATGTTATACAATGTCATTAATGTCAATGTTAAACATTGAGACAATGGTGAAGAACAGCATCTGCGTATGGAATATTACATGCCAAGGAATCTAAAATTTCTATTTCCATAGTTTCCTGCATTCAGTTTCCTAAAGCCCACATAAAAACAGTATGCTGAAGTTTTGCAGTGAATCTTCTTCAAGAACCTAGGCTTTCCACCTTTCATCACTAAAATTAGAGCAGAAATGATTAACTGCATGTTTTTCTAATGGTCTTCCCACCAGTACGCTGTATCAAAATGAACTGTATGTCAAAGCACGTTCTCTTTGATAAGTTCACACAGGTTTTACTGACCAAAGTTACAAAACTATTCAATGAACCTAGTGGCCAAAATTTGACTTCCAAAAGTACAAAGGAGCATCAATTCGCTAAATGAAAGAAGAGCAGGGAAAGATGCATCACTCTCCCTTCAGCTCCTCCTCATCAAAGCTCTGCTATGCACAGGCTCCATCAGCAACAGCGTTAAGTAGACACTAAACCTTATGAAAGATGGCTGCAACACATCTAAACTTCTTGTAAAGCATACAAATATGCCATTTAATGATCAAAGTACAGAGCTGGTTCCCAAACCCTATTTTGAGAGAAATTACCTTGGCTCCAGTGGCCGTTACAAGTGCTGTACCTCCTAATCACCTATAGATATAATTGCTCGCAAAAAAAATGGGCAAGGCGTTGACTAAACAAAAGCCTTAACGTGCACTCTGGATTGTCTCCAACACTTAAAAAAGGTTTGTTTGTCTTAAATCTTGTAAATTTCTATTTAAGAACATATAACGGTTTTATCAAAAAAAAAATTACAATTTAGAACAATCTCTTTGCATTTTTGGTGAAGGAATAATGCCCTCATTTATCATCCTAACATTATATAAGTCTGGGTGATCGTGCAAGGTTTTCAAACAAAAAACGTAAAAACAGTATCCTAAAATGTTGACAGCCGTCTAAGCAGAGGTGCTCCATTCCCAAGTCTTTTGAAATTTAAACCATTCTTTGCAGGCAATCTAGGCTTCAGAGCCAATTCTAAACCTTACTAATTGTGGCCTGACTTTAAGAAACATGCCAGATTTTAAGCCTTCCAATTATGGGCTCATACAAAAAAATCTTTGCAAGAGAAGTCTTGGAAATTCAGTCAGGCTACTCAAAAATGTCCCTTAATTTTTTTTTTTTTTCTGTGTTTGAAACGTTCAGTTCTCAGCTTTTTTTTCTTATATAAATGGAAGCTTTCTTTTTTTTTTCTCCTCCTTTAAATGCATACTCCAAGGCCTGAAAGTTTTTCAGCCAATGATGCGCATGTGCCACACAGGAAAATCACCTGGTGTTTCCTAGAAGTTCTATTAACATGTTCTCGGTCTTTTTAGATTGAGATTCACAAATTCAAGTACTGGATTTTGTTTAGAAAATTACCATTTTTCTTAGTAGGATGGCTTTTCAGAGCACTTTGTAGTATTTAATAGAATTAAAATAAAATTTTTTGAACTAATAACCTGGCAGGACACTTTCTTGAAGCAACTTTTTTTTTCCCTTGGTGTCTGCAAATTCCCCAGCAGCACAACTGTCCCACCCTGGATTAAAAATAAAAGTCCTCTGAAATGGCAAGTTGATGAGTAACTCCCACCACCCAGGACTCTCTGCAGCATCATGAAATGACTGCTATGTTCTGGGTCATGAAGACAAAGGGTTTCTGTTTACTCTACAAGGATGTAAAAAAAAATGCCTTAAAGTAGGAAAAAAAGAGAAAACATGCAAATGGGCTATTCATGTGTTTATCTGCAGTTAATTTAAAACAACCTGAGCCTTCATTATTGTGCATGCAATGAGACTGCCAGGTTCAAACATCCAAGAGTGACAGTGGAGAGAGAACTGTTTTATAAAAGAACACGTTTCAGCTTGCCTTTAGGCTCTGAAACTTTAAGGTGTTCCTACAGCATGTTTTAAAGACTTTCTCTGTTACCAAGCGGGCTAAAACTTTACTTCATCCTTCAGTTGAAAGCAATCTCTTCACTACTGCAAGTAGGGCTGTATGAAAAGCACAAACTCCTCCAAGCCTTGTAATGAAATCATCCCAGTTAGTGCGACGGCAGCAATACACCTGACTATGCACTCGGAATACTGCATTTAATTCCCTCCCCCAGGCTCACAAGTTTCACACTGAAGTAACTAACTCCTTCTACTTCTCTGATACACAGTGGCATATAAGAATTGGGCTCTGTCTTTCCAATAGCATTATCTGTACATATTTAGTGTGAATATGCTTTTCATTCTTAGTGATGCTCCCCTTTACAACTTAATGCAGAAATACATTATTTTCTGTTTCAGACCTCAGGCTTTTGAGAAATTAGTGTTCACTGTCAAGGATACAGGAAATACTTTTAGCAGAGCTGGCCAAAAATGAATGACAATTCCTGCTAATTTTGTTACTGTTGTTTGGACAGAGGAACTATCC